TTTGGTCCTCTAACTAATTAATATTTTCGATTTAAGGACTTTTTCCATAAAAAGTGCACTTTCCGATGATAGTATACCAGAAAAAGTACACTTTTCGATTTAAAGATTTATTAGTTAAAAGACCAAATTTGCGAGTGAGTAAAATTATAGGACCAACCGACCAATACCGATAACAACCGGAAGTTACAAGACTAAAATTTCAAATATTCTTATTAAAATAAATCCCACTTTCCTTATACACGTATACTTTGCAAGAACTCGTAATACTTATAATAGAAATTGCTCAATATAAGATCTAATTAAACATACACACAATTCAAAATACGAGTCAATATGGTTATTCACCTGACTTATTTAATCCTATTTATGAATTTTTTCTATATTTTAATCATATTTAGGAGATTTTCTCATTTATACGACTTTATCAACTTACTTTAAAAATATTTTCTCTCTAATTTCTTACAAAATCAAATTAGAAAATTTGTCTCCAGTTTAGAATACAGAATATTATTCACAGAATCAATTCAAATCAAGAATCAATTTAAAAATCTCATAAAAAGCAATTCAATTCTAGTATGAGAATAATAACTTCATTTGACAAAAAAACAATCAATTGACAAGACACGAGACGGTAGAAACGAGGCAATGGTTTTACTAGAACGAAAAAATACTGTTGTGGTCAACTTTGTTTTTTTCAATTTTGACCTTATTTGTTACAAAGTCAAATTCCATCACGTACTTCACTATTTGGCAATCTCTCCATTGGTCTTTTTTGATTGTTTTATTCCATCCCTTTCTCTTGCTCTTGCTCCGGGGCATATATAGGGTTGAGTTTCTTACCTTTTTTTAAGAAACGATTTTATTCATCAAAATAAAAAGTACAGTGTAAGGAGAAAAGTAAAGGGAAAAATACATAAAAGAAAAGAGAATATAAAAAAACTCAAAACTAGATTCAAGGAAAATCTCTGGACTGTGATCTAGTCCACATGCTGTGGATAATAATTTATTCCCACACGATATTTTTCTTATCAATGGGTTCACGGGTTTTAGGAAATTATATTTTTTACAATATGTTTTACAATATGTGAATTGTGTAGTTGAAATTATACAGGAAAGAGATAAATAATAATAATAATAATAATAATAATAATAAAAATAATAATAATAAATTAAATACTCCATAGTAAAGAACCTAAAAGGAAAGGTGGTCACGGTTTTAGGACATTAAATAAGCTTACACGTTTGTAAAAGACGCGAACTATTCAGGTCCAATCCTGACATTTTGGAGCTGAGGTCCATGGTATATTGAAAATAGGGGCCTTACAATTATAATGCTGAAAATTAATTTTACTATAAAATAAAAGTTCAATTCATAAGAAAAAATTACAAAAACCAATATCTTCAATGTCGAAGAGATTCAAGAATGGCTAAAGTTCGCCTTCTCAATGCCGGATAAACGCAAGTGTAGCAAATATCTATAAATTAAAACACTAATATACTCCTTCCGTCTCACTAAGATTGCATGTCCCATCTTTCTTTTTTGGTCCATTCCATTAAGATTGTCTCATACCAAATTTTATGAAGTTTGTGTTGTTCTAAATCATTTTTACTTCACTTTTACTTTATCAATTTCATATCAATCACATAAGTTCACTTTTCTTAATAATCGTAACATCTTCTCATGTCTCAATGTTAGTGGGACGGAGGTAGTAGTATATAGAGGAATGATCAATTGATCATGTCAGAACTACCTGACACTCTAACAAGAACCACTATCCGGCCATCTCCGTTTGAGTTGCTTATGGGTGGAAATTTTTGATGAACTTTTGTGAGAATGTTCTTCATGGGAAGTATATATTATGTCCACAAAATTTGACCTTAAAATTCATTCATTAAGTCGGTTAAAAAATTATTGAAAAATATTGCGTCATAAATATATAAAAACGCAGTATTTTTCAATAATTTATTTAATTGACGTTCCGATTGAATTCTAATGTGAAATTTGGTGAAAATAGTCTATATTTATCGAAAAACATGTCCATAAAAATTGACCCAAAAAAATCATCCAAACGGTGGTTCATGTGAGGTAATTATGATAGAATCATCTATCATAGTGTGTGTCTGTGTGTGTATTATATATATATATATATATATATATATATATATATATATATATATATATATATATATGTAATATTACATATGAAAAATATGTAAGAGATGGGCTCTGGACATGTGCCCCAACCGCCCCACCCCCAGAATCAGCCCTGGAACTATTCATATTTTTATTCGAGTCAACACATTACGGTTGTAGATTTAACTAATAATGGTGATGGAGTATATTCCCATATACCTCAAGGGTATCAGGATCGTTGATATTAACATCACGGATTCATCCCATAGCGCATAAAAATGCTAACTCCACAACTGAACCGACCCCGACCCACCAAGGTCGGGACGAAGTGCTAGGCAGTGAAATAACTAAGGGCCGAAGGACCAACCGACCCCGACCTCGACCCCCGAGGTCGGGAAAATACCAAACTCAGGAACCGCTCAAACTCGACAAGTTATGAGCCCGACCTCGAAGGCACCAAGCTCAGCACCGACTCCGACCTCGGGCGTCAACGCACAGTCAATCAAAGTCAAACTAAGGAGTCGACGATCTCGAAGACGGAACGAGAGACAGAAGACATATTCCCCAGTGATGAGCCCAAGTCTCCAGATACTGACCTCAGTGAGCTCAGGGTCTGATCAAGACATTATGGACTTGGACAAATAAGCGAAGACATATGTCCCAAAAGAATACCGCCACGTCACTCCTGGCAGTGGGCAGGAAGAATATTTTGGATTATACATGTGTAATCACACGGACATTCAAGCAGCAGTTTGTTAGGAGCAGTTCCAATCAGCCAGTTGTCCCAGACTACTCTCCAATCACCTTTACACGTGGCTGCTCCCCATCGACTTAGATTGTTAGTTTGTTAGAATAGATATATAGGACATGTGTCCTCTCCCTATTAGTTCATCATCTTTTTACTTGTGCACCAAGTATTGCCTTTCTAGTATAAATATCACCTTCCAGCTTGTGGAAAGGGATCACAATTTGTATTCTCTAGCGGTTACTCTGCAGAAATATCTACCTAAACTTTCCGATCAGCTCTTCTCTATTATTTTACTCGGATTCCGGCTACCCCCTAGTTCGGTGATCCATCAAGTGGCTGAACGAATAAATACATAAATAAATCTATAAAACAAAATCTGTAATGTAATTGATTTTTCTTCCATTTTCTTTTTTTCTTCAATTATCTTCTTCATCATCAAAATATTAAGAATCTAATCACAATTTCTTTTTTCTTCATTTTCAGCATTCAAAAAAGATGAATAGATGAAATGTTATTTAAAACTCAAATTCAAAACAACATCGTTTTGATTTACTGATTTTTAAATGTAATTTTAAGCAATATCATTTGGATGATATGAAAAAATAACACCACGCTATATTTGTGTAGTGATCAACTACTTTTTAATCCTACAAAGATTACGATCATGTTTCTATCATATCTCACATTGATTGAAGATATACGCAAAACATATTTGATCTAAAAAGAAGCATCTGTTAGAATATAAATTATGAATCTTCATGAAAGTTTTAACCCTTTATTTGATCTTTTAGTGAGTCACTCTGAATTACAAGTCACGGCCTCAAGCCCTAAACGGCTAAACATACTTGACCGAGGAAAGACCTTGTACCAATGGAATAATGTGTGATTAAATTCTTTGTATTACAAGTTCTTTGAAAGTATCTCTGATGGATATATTTAATGGTGGTGGGAGTTTCAAATAAATTTCACGTCATTTCAAAAGAAAGAAAGAGTTCCAAAAGGCATGTTAAAACCTAGAGTATTGCTGGGAAATAGAGATGACCACAAGTGGTTGTTTTATCAACTCTTGTGGAAATTAAAACCTAGAGACATATACTGACTAGAGAAAAAAATGATGATTTTGTGAAAAAAACTGTGCAATAAAGAGTTTCATGTTAGAACTTCTGTTAGAATCATGGCAAAACGAAGAAATTTAGATGAGTGGAAGTAGTCAAGTGATTTATTTCTCACATTTAAGATCCTCTTGTGAGAGGTCTCGAGTTGAAGTCCACAAGTAGGTTAATTTTGAGAGAGATTTCCCAAAGATTAATCGGGAGAAATTTTTTGTACACACGAAGCAGCTTTGTAACCACTTTATCCACTTATACGGAAACAGTTGAAGAATACTTCGTATAACATGGTCTAGAAAAACAACATTTTGTAGCTCGTGCAAGGAAAACTATGATGTTACATCCTCGTCACTAAAATCTGTACATTTTTTTTCACTCACTCGGTTTCTTATTTTCGTTCTCATATCTATAGTAAGATGTTTTCCTATTTTGTAGACCTCGCCTTGTTCTTGGGAAAAATAAACACAAAGAAGAGTTTCTTTTTAGACAAAAAACTCTCCGGCCAAATTTACTTATTTAGCAATCAAAAGGAGTGAAATTAAGTAACTTGAAAACATATGTCTATCTTCATTTCATAGTATTCAATCACACAATTTTCATTTTTATAACGTTTGTAAAGTAGAAAACCAATTCATAAACGCGCGATGGATAACCCATCGGCTGTTCACACACTCCTTGGCTCACTTGCTTGTCCTTGGCGAGTGAAGGCATTTTATGCGTCTTGAGTTTCCTTTCTATATGAGCAAGTGGTTCCAACATAATCTATATCAGATATGGACCCAACACCAAGTACAAACACGGGATGAGATCCCAAATATTAGTGTGCCATCCCCAGCCTTTAAAGTGTGTCTTATACTCACCAGAAAGGCAGAAATCCAGAAACAGAAATGAGGAAAATAGTGCAAATAATACACAAACAATTTTGTTAGCTACGATGGAATAAACTTTCCTCAAAAGCAACATTCTTCTCTACTGCACACTATAGCCCAATATACTGATATAGGTTGGACAGGGACTGAACAACTTCTCTGATTGAGTAATTAACAAGCAAAGAATTAGTTCTTCTTTCTGTGTCACACCTTACAAAAAATTCACTACGAAGTAATTGGCATAATAGAGATCCAAACTGATATGTACATCACAGAAGCCAGAACGGCACTCATTCTTTTATATATATACTCCGTATATCTTTTCAAGTATTTCAGGATGTATTATTCTAAAGTTCTAGCAAAGCAGTAATATATATACATGTACACTTACCCTACTTGGAATAACTGCAACTCCAGCTTCCTGCACGAAACAATAAAAAGCAATGATTCAAAACGAGCTTACATTTAAAAAGGGAGGAAAATGGTTGGTGAATTAGGGAATTTAGAGCTTTACCTGTAATAACCTTAAGCTTCAATTCTTTCAATATCTACCAAACACCTCCTATCTCCCCAGCTTTCTAACAGGAAACTTGCATTCGCTTTACCAATGTAGGAGAGCCACTCACTTAGAACTCTCCGCCCCAAAAAAAGAGTCATGTTTATAATACTAATGAAATCAGTATTATAGATAGAAACTCTTTCTTGGGAAAGGGAGTTAATGTATGATTATTCCACTTTTAGGAAGAGAGTTATCAGAGTGCAATATCTATGATCATTTTGATTCTTTGAAGCTCTTGGTGCTAAGTTGCATTATCATATTTGGAGCCTCTTTATCTAGACCACTCATCTTCAGTTTCTCTGCTGCTCCTTCCTTCTCTGCTTTCTTCCTCTCAGATTCCAGCTGCTTGCAATTTTCCTCATTCGATTGATTGAACATTTTCACAAAGTTTAGTAGAGTCGATATTACTGCAATAGAAGTTCAGAATGCATGTGAGGCAAGATTCATTACTAAAAAACTCCTTTGGGTTGCTTACTTCCCAATCGTATGATGGAAATTGACAACATTTCCTATACTATCACCTTGTTCTAAAAATCTTTCCCCTAAACCATACCAAAACTTCTTAATGATCCCTAATCCTAAACCCTTCCTGTCCGGGAACACTTCAACCTATCACGTTTACTAGTTTAGACTTTAGAATATACAGCATCCGCCCCTACAAGGTTTTTTATTTTACTACTCATGTGGTGAACAAAATTATTCTTCATTCTGTGTCAGCTTTTCCGTATTTGGTTCAGTTTTTGCAGTTCAATAGAACTCTTATCCTTTTTAAATGATATTAAGAGAAAAATAACTTTATCGTTAATTATACCTCATAAACCTAACTCGTAAAAGTAATTAGGCACATGGGTAGTATTTATTCTCGCGCCTTCACTAATTTAGTACTTCTGTATTCAAAGGTTATTAATTAAATTTACACCGACGGTGCTAATACTAAACCTTTCACAAGCATGTAAGGTATTAAAACAATTGTTTATACCCGCCTCAAATCCCATTAGGTAGGGTCGGAGGTCCTGGATGCCCCATAACACTCAACCTTTGTCACCCTTAGGATGTTTTTACTTGAACTGAGATTTGTTGGTCTGGTCTGAGCTGTTTAAGTCTGGTCTGGTAAATGACTAGTCTCTGTGTATTAACTATGGAAGTTTGGTCTGGTATAGTCTGTTTAAGTCTGGTTTGGGCTGGTCTGGGACTGAAAACAGTCCAAGTAAAGACATCCTTACTATAAACTGTTATGAAGGATTATCGCAAAATTCAAAAACATTGTGTTGGCTACATCCTTGGACTAGCTGATCAGGCAGCGAGACCCCGTACTTACGCAAGTAGTGATGATCGGATTCAAGACATATCAACAAACCTCTACCTTGACTTGAATCCTCCATACACATGCATCATGACAGACTTTACGTTTTTCGTATTCTCTGATCTTGCAATAATCCGTCATAACATAAACCCCAAAAGCCTTTCCATAAGTATAGGGAACTTCTTTTACTTGAAGGAATAATACCTTGCTCAAATGTGCAACGTGCAGGATCTTCTCCAAAGTAAAGAATTAATGCATCCACATTTCTTCCCTATACGATATAAGCAAGCACTACTTATTGGAGGGCCGTTATGAGATCTATGTAAACGTCTGTTGAAGAAAATCTAAAGCCATACCACACCGGAATAAAGCAATGCCAGTGACCTCACTTCACCTTCTGCATAGCAAAGGAATTCCTTTAAAGCCTGAAAGCAATTAAAGCTACTCGTTACATTAATGATATTTACAGAGTACTTCATAAGCATCCAACTACCATAATGTCAGTAGGCTATGGAGAACCCGAAATGGGCCCTTTAGTTTGGACAAAAATGTCGATTTATACCTTGCAAAAATTTTCAGAAATGTGTCCATCGCTTTCTGACATGGACAACTCTTGTATTACTTTTTCAAGTCCTTTGTTGATAGCTTGCATTTCCTCTGCCAAGAACTTTAACTGTATCTGCACAAGAATATATTCTAAGTAGGGTTTTTCTAATGTGTGCCTATGGCCTATGGGGCACATGATAAGCAGAGGTTAATGAGTATCTAATGCTTATCAATTTATCATTTTCTTAAGTTGTCCTTTACAATGGTGATAAATGTCCAAATTTCAGAAAAAACATATCGATTTTTGGAAGCATACTATTTTTCTTTCAAGTTAGTAAATCTTTTTTTACACTCTAAAATGAAATACTCCCTCCGTCCAACTAAACTTTTCCAAATTTCCTTATTTAGACATCCCAAAAAACTTTGTCATTTCCATTTAAAATACTGAATACAACAACAACATCCAAGCCTTAGTCCCAAAAGATATTTAAAATACTGAATATATGGCTAAAATTATTTCTCTATCCTATGCGCAAATCTCAACCGTACAATTTTTATTTTATTATTCTACATGTAAGTCGAACTTGGCAAAGTTTCGTGGGACATAGGGAGTATATTATTTCACTTTAGGTACTCTTCGACCACAGGTTTTGTTGTATAAACAAATATTTCGCATACGATACCTTTGAAGCAGGTTCCAAGCTAGAAAGATCTTTAGAGAAGTCAAGAACTTCTGGCAGTTTATCTGCCAACACCTAGGAAATATCCCAAAATAGTGATCCATCATAAGCAGATGTAATTTCATAAATATCACTTTACGAAGTATCAATAACTCCAATAAGTATAAGTCTTTGAATATAATCAAGAAAGAATTAAAGAAGATCCAACTGGTTTTACCCAGGTCCACTTTTAAAAGACAAAGAGCTTTTAAATTTATAACACAGGCAAAGGCCTACACTCCAATTTCTGTAAAAAGGTTTACTTTTAAGTCTGTTTTTTCATAAACCAATTTATATGGATGAATAATCTTTCCGGCCCATTCCATATTTGAATATTTAGGGTCCCTGGCTACGCCAGCGACAGAATGAATGAAGGCAAGTGAGTTTGGGTATTGACAATGATGCAAGCCTCACAGGCATGGCCTATGAGAGTAAATTACTACGTAGTAATAAATTATAAAGATCATTTAAATCACACTCCCCTAATAGAAATGTAAAGTGGAGGAAACTACAGAAAGAGCTCATATACAAACATTGTTCACATACAAGTGATCTCATAAACACACTTTATATTTGCAGCATGGTAGGTTAGCTTTCTGTTAAGCCACAAAACAAGGTAAGATACAAAAATAACACATACCTTACAAAGGTAATGCATGAGAGTCATCTTGTTGTTTCGTGCACGGGTTTCAGTAAGTTTGAGTAGGCTGTCCAACCTAAATCCAACAGCAGATCCTATACCAAAACCGAGCAATAATGCATCACTTACTCGAAGAAGAAATCTTTTGATAGACAATGATAGGTGATTTCTCTTAAGTAAGATTGTTAGGACTCATATCACCACAATATCAGGAAACAGCGGCAGTAAAGAATAAAACTCAAGAATAAATGGTGACCAATTCAAATTTCACATGATGATATTTATTGCTTGCATCCTTTGCGAAATACTTTATGTTAACAAGATTATGAGTTTACTTCAGAGTATCATTTAATCCAAGAAGGAATAGATGTATCAAGTATGAGCCAATTAATCCTCAGCTATTATATTAGAATCACATGGAAAAACATTCAATGGTATCCTTTATCCGAAAAATTCAACACAAGGACAGAACCAAATATTAATTTAGTTTACAGTGATTTCAAAAAAATACTAACCCTCACCTGAACACAGTGCAAACCGTAGATAGATAGGGTCATACAAGAACATATGAAAATTAAGCAATTCACTGCATAATAATAATATTATTTTGCATGAGAGCATAAGAATATTTACTCACCCCTTGCAGTGCCCTGGTTCAAAGCATTCCCTAGGGAGAGAATTGTCTGCATAATTCTTCTCAACTTGGCTGACCCCCTAATCTGATGAAAATATAATCCAAAAATACAACATAATGAAACATATGTTGTATTTACTTCTAGGAAAATTGTAGAAAATATTCTAGGAAATGGAGCTTGCCTGATCTGCAGCTGAATTAACAATGTTTAGACTTCGCCTAACATCAGAAACCTGAGAACATTATGTATATATAAATATTAAAATATGTTCTTTCGCATTAATAGCCATAGGATAAACTATATTTCCAACCTGAGAGTGAAACTGGAGCTTAAATGAAAAAACTCCGAGCTTAGCCTGAACTCGCGGTACTTGCATTAGTTCCAAGAAAAACTGGAAAAAAGGTGACAACCTCATTCCATGTTAATAGAGAGCACAAAATAAACTTGCAACAGGAAGATTCTGATACAAAGTTACAAACTATCCAACCAGATTTGAGATAGCACAAACCTGTTCACATCTTCCAAGCTTATCCTTTTCTCCTTTATAACCCTAAAAATAACCAAATAATTTAGTAGAAATAGATAATAAGTCTAAAACATTTATTACTTCAAAAAAGGAAAAGTATTTCAAGTTGTGATGATTACTTGAGTACAAAACGACACATAGTTAATAGATATAAAACTAACATTTTAAGAAAAGGATAAATAAATCTGTATTTTGAATGACAACTCCAATAAAAATAGATGCTAAATCTATATCATTTATTACTTTAAGAAAAGGATAGGCAAAATATCTAAGCATTTATTACCTTAAGCATTTCAATTTCCTCCTTTGTTGGACAGTACTTAATGATGTTCTCAACTTGATCAGCGTCTATTGCTGAATCCTCTAAGGCAAGGACAGAACTCTATCAAATAAAAGAAAGGCATCAAAACCAGAAGCATCAATAGAGCTTCAGAATGAATATGGAATAGAAAGCTGACATTTCAGACAAAGGCATGTTAGAAGACCTAACGTGTAGGGGTGTAGGACTATTAATTATCATTATCATCATTTACCCCAGTGCCGCAAAGGCTCCCACCTACGGTGGGGTAAGGGGGGGTCGGATGTACGCAGTCTTACCCCTGTCCTAAAGCAGGGAGAGACTGTTTCCGGATGACCCATAGTGAAAATCGCGTACAAAATTGCATGGACCGACTGCTGCTTCATAACAAAGAAGCGCAGACAGTTTAGTGAGCCATTTTGCTTTATTCCATCATATTCTCAAGCCAAAAAATAGTGAATCTTTGGCTCCATTGCAAATGATGGAAACGGTGTAGGACTATTAATAATTAAAAAAAAAATAACAGTAACAACCTATTTTGGTTAAGACACTTCCAGTACTTCTAAACTTTTGAAGAGGCATATATTGGCCTTCATGATAAGAAAAAAGATGGAAGGAACTAAAGATGGAGAAAGAGGCACTTTAGTAAAAAAAAAAGACACATCACTTGCAAGCTGGTATAAATGTGAATGGAACGTCAAACTATCTGCCCCTTTCTCTATTTCAAGTAGAGCTCAAACCCATGAAATTAGGGTCAAAGTTTTTCCTATTTGTTTCTAGTTTGAGTGTAAGCCTTAGGTTGCAGTCCTGCTTAATAAATATTTGAGTACAATTGTGGTTATTATGGTTTTGCAAATTATAAGGGACATACAGTTGTCAAATGGACAAATTTGTATGATGATTAAATTAAAACTACGCAAAAAACTAGATATCACATGCAAAATTAAGTGCAACTCTGAACATTCGATTTCAGTGGAAGCATTTACATGTTGAGCTTGATCCACACTGATGTGTTTCAACTCAATTAAAACCTTCGATGGCTAGGGAGAACACACTTTTAACTTTTACTATTATCCATACATCCTCAACAATCCATGTTGATGTGGTACTGAACACAAACATTGTGTACAACTCAGAGACCATTACATAAGCAGTTCTGATGTCAAGAAAACAGCGTTTAGACTTCTGAAGTCTATATGTTACTTTGAGCCTCAAGAAATTTTTCCCTATAAACAGGTGATGTGAATAACCCATTGTGGGATAAGCATGTGCAGAAGGCTGTGGTAGGAGGAACACATCATTACTTAATTCCTAATTGCAGAAACTTTCCACGGCTCATATTCTTTGTTTCAGAAACTCACAAGCGTGTCAGGAATTTCCAATTTGGGGCCGTTTCAGTTTGGAAACCTGTTTCCCTAATCAATTGGAGTTTCGAAAACTTCGGGATTCCAATTTTTTCCCTTTCGTCATGGAATTTCTTGATGCAAAGTAGTGTCTGTTTTTTATTTTTAGTGGATTTTATGATATTCTTTCTTAGCAACATTGTAATATTTTATAAAGAAATGCATTGCTAGAACCTTATTGTGCACTTTATGATTAACTATGTACTAATTTCTAAATTTTATGAATAAGTGTTTGCGCTTCTTTGTTATGAAGCGGTAGTCGGTCCATGCAATTTTCGATGCGATTTTCAGCATGGGTCATCCGGAAAAGCCTCTATGCTTTAGTACAGGAGTAAGGTTGTGTACATACAACCCCCTTACCCAACCTTTGGTGGGAGCCTTTGCGGCACTGGGTTAATGTTGTTGTTGTTGCTGTAGACCATATTTATTATTGATTACTAAACAATGTTATATGAAAAACATGTTCACACACATATGGAAAAATCATGTATACATATATGAAAATTATTGATAAATATATCAGTATGTGTTTTAATAGTTACGCGTTTACCCAGGGTTTTGTATTTTTTAATCCTTTTTCTCATGTTCCACATTTCCTGTTTCACTTTTCCCCGTTTCCATGCTACTTAGATTTTAACTTTTAAAAAGTAAATGCTTTGTCCATCAGCAGTCTTCATCATAGAGTACTCAGCTTTGCAAACAAACCAAGTTAAAATTTCTATGTAAACAAATATGGAGAGAAAAATATATCTTACTAGTAAATCATGCAACGGCACCTTCACCTTTGAAAGCATGATTTCACAGTTGTACGCCCTCCTATGTTCAATCTGTTAAAGATAGGAAAAAGCATCTTCTAGCAGCAATAATACAAAAAAAAAAAACAGTTTTCAGATTCAAGCTCCAACCAATAGTTGAACTTGTGATTTAGTGAAACCCATTGCCTTTAAATTTGATACTACGTATGATTCAGTTCATTGCTTTAAAGCATAAAACATTGTGCATATGCATACTTCTTAGGGGTTTCATTCTTCATTGTACATCAAGGTTCAATAAATGGCATGTAAGGACTGATTTACAATACAATCTCCAACAGAAAAGTATGACCAGGTTAGAAGCTGTTTCTGCAAAACCGACACATATTGCCTATATAACAAAGTTGATTAATTTGTGGAGATCAACCATGCAACATGACGAGTCTTATGACAATACTATGATCTAAAAGTAGCAATATAGATTACGAACTAATGATCAGATAGGTTACTGTTGAGTGCACATACATTCTTGTACGAAACAAGCAACAACAATAGCAGCTAAAATGTTAATTAACACTTGTTGACCCTCAAGGATATTTTATTTGGGGTTAATGATCATAGTCATTGTTGAATGCATATGAATTGCTACAATTATTACTATATTAGAATAAACATGATAGATTAACAACATATAAAAGGTCTCATTACAATCCACATCCACTGACACCTAGACCGGAAAACTCTTGGACCTACAACTGATAAAAAACATTCTTAACAATTCACGATTCTAAGGCCGGATCACATATAATATATGATCCTCAAATTATAAATCACTTGGAACTTTTAAGATATTTGACCTTTAAGAGGTATACTATCAGCAAAACAAATTGTGATTTTGCAGGTTTTTAATGCACTAAAACTGAAAGAAAAAAAAAACTGGCCCGAAGCAAATAGAGATGGGAGATTTAAAACTGCATATTGGAGTACTTTGCAGTACAGTTTTCATTAATGTGAATAGTTTTGCAACTTCGAGTCCTTTTTATGGAGATTTTTTTAAAAGGATGTCGTTTATTAATATAGTTATTGGTACTTCTCTTCAAATTCTATGAGCACAATAGATGTAAAAAGTACATTCCAAATATAGCATCCAAAAGGAATATAAATCACCAGTTGCACTTTCTCAGATTTTGCCCCCAAGGAAGTCTTTGAGTTTCCTTTCCTTCCCGACTCAGCTTTGTCTAAAGTTGGAACTGCAGCTGAGAAGAGTGATTCAAGTTCTGATATATCAATTTCTGGAGCCCTGACTAACACAAGAAATATATAAATGCATGATGTATAACATATCAACGTGAATGAGAGTTTCACGTACTATGTACATCACATACTTGGCTGCTTCACCAGATTTTTGTGCTTCAGCCCACAAGCTTCCCTGAACTGCTCTGGTTAACTTCAACCAGTGCAATGGTTTCAGTTTCTTTGTCTGACTGTTTATAGAACTCATGGCACGGGAAAACAGCTGTTTCCCTTTCATACCAGGTGGGGGGATAGAAGGTGGTGGTGGTCCTGGTGGCAATGGGGAACTGGATGAATAATTTATGTTGCTACCTGTTGATTGTGAATATGATACACCAGGGGATTCCTTTATCTCCCCCTTATTAAATGGTATTTGAGGAGGTGGAGCAGATTGAACACTCTGAGAAGGGGAAACATGATGCTTCATTGAAGAACTCGATGCAGGAGGTGGAGGAGGTGGTAATGGTACTTCTGCTAAATTTTTAGAGCTAGTAGTATCTGACGATGGAAATGGGGGTGGTGAAGCTAGAGTTGGTGATCCACAAGAGGAGGACATAATTCTGGTAAGTGGTGGGGGTGGAGGAGGTGGAGGTTCAAGTTTTCTAGGTGCAGACGTAGTACTCTCCTTTAAGAATGGGGTAGGAGGAGGTGGCGGTGAGGGTGGGGGTGGTACACCAGTGAAGATTGAATCTTCCTTCGAAGATGGGAATGGGGGAGATGAAGGTAGACATTCTCTACCCATCAAAGCAGAACTGTCCTTTGAAAATGAACTAAGAAGAGGTGGCAACGGTGGTGGTGGTGGGGGTGGGGGTACACTTCCATGGGTGGGACTGTCTTCGAAATATTGGGTGGAAAGAATTTGAGTCGATGGGGAAAAAGAACATGGTGGGGGGGTTGGAGGTGAAGGAGAGCAAGGGGAAGAAGGTGAGGTAGAAACAGAGCCCCTTTTAGCATTTTCATCTTTTCCCCAGTCCACCGGATGTATCTCCGGCATTTTTTGATGATGTATGTGAGGATCAGTGGTAGTTGTTGTTTTCTGACTTGTCTCATCCTTTGAAACATTAACTGGATGACTCGAACCTTGGCTGGGAGAGCTAAGTGGAGAAGGTATAGTTTTGGTGTGTGCTTTATCCGCCAGAGGTGGTGTTGTAGGTGGAGAAGGTATAGTTTTAGGTTGTGCTTCATCTGCCAGAGGTGGTGTAAGTGGCACATTTGGCATAGGAGGAGGAGAAGGAGGTTCCAAAATACCAACATGTTGATGCTCAGTAGGCAAAGCAGGAGGACTAGGAGGAACTGTATCAAGTGAGAGGGTCTCTGTTTCAGATAGAGAAGAGACCTCATTCACCTCTGGTAAAGCAGTTGATGGCTTCAGAAATGGTACAGCCTTCTGTTCACTAGTATCTTGTCTGGGGGGTTCTATGGGAGAATACTGAGATTGCTTGTGCGGAGAAAAATCAGACATGGGCATGTCATCTAATGTCACAGGCCATTGATCTTGAGCTTTAACAGGAGTTGATGGCTGTGATGCAGAGGTTGCTTCTGTACTCAGGGGTGAACTTGATTCCAACTTTTCAAGGATGATATTTGCGGCAGTGATTTGTTGGAGCACATTGAGAGCAGCATCACCCTTTGGACTTAGCCAATCAACACTGTTAAAAATCTCCTGAACCTTAGCAAATGCCTCCACTGGGAGGCCATCCTTCTCTTCAAAACAGGACAAATCCACTGGAATGACTGACGAGGTGGCAGCATCCATCTCTGAGAAAAGGATCTTCATCCAGAGTATGATAGCTCACAGTCAAGATAAATGCATACAGCTTCAGAAAACAAAGACAAAAAAAATTGAAAAAGATACCTCTGCCCTGAAATCCTTTGGAAATTGATCCTTTGCATCCCACAGTGTGTCAATTTCATCCCGGTTAAGCATCACAATGTTAGACCTAATAAAAGATGTATTGAACATAACCCTGAACATCATTTGTTCCCGTTCCATGTCATCATACAAGCTGATACACTCCAAAACAACATCACCTTGGATATTACAGTTGATATCAATCTTTAGCAGTTCAGATTCTGCCTGCAAAGACATCAAAAGAAGACCGTATGCAAATGACCAGTGATTATGACTTTTAAAAATTACTCATAAATGACCATGTGAACATTGACAAAGCTCTTAATCCAGTCTAGCTAAGATGGCTAAATTTTGGAGATACCTGCTTGTAATAGCGGATGGGTTTACCCTTCTTTGTTGAGAATAGAAGTTTTGGGTTTCGATCCCCTACAAGTAATGGATCTTGTCCATAGATACGAAATACTGGTCGACAACCCCCATCTCCATCAAAATTAGGTATCATCCTAAGAATGACACAATCCAATGTGACAGCTCTATCAAGAGGAGGCCAGGCTGTGGCCACATTCCTCCTAGAAACATACTGCAAGTATCTCAGCTGAGAAGGGATGGGATTAAGAGGTGTCAACAAGTGCAAAAGCTCACGTGGAGCCTGCTTATATATCATGTCTAAAGTCTTCTGTTCACCAGTGTAATGTCTTCTATATATCAGCAATGCAGCCAACATGAATGTTAAAACCGGCCAACCACCCCGTTCACAGTGCATGAGAAGTACATTTTGTGTGCCAAGAGAGAGCCAGCTTTCACTTGATCTTAGAAAATGGTGGATCACCTCCATTGAGAGCAATGGACAACTATCGTAATGGCGAGGATAGTCCATTATTGTAATGTCATATTCAGACAAAATATTTGCAATGGGGCTTCTTGTCTCCCCATCGCGGAAATTGAAAATCAACATTGACACATCTGGATTATTATCCCGAAGCTGAGAAATTATGTTTCGCACATAGGGTCTGTAATTTTCTTCCTTCCAAACATCAGTACTGAAGCAGCAATCAAACACTGAAAATAAACAACAAATATAAACTTGGCTAGTTTATGCAACAATTTCCCCTGCTTCAAGGCTTACTGACCCCCCCCCCCCCCCCCCCCCCCCAACCCAAATACTTTTCCAACAAATACTCCCAAGATTAATATACATGCATTGTATAAATCGAGACAACGAAATGGAGAAAGATAGAGATAGAACCGTAAACTCTTTCGCAGATCTCAAGGAGTCCATCAGGCGGCTTCCTATAGAACAGTTTCCGAAACAGCGCCATACGAGTCCTGGTCGTTTTCGAGCTCAAACTTCTCTATCAGTCTGCCTGCAACCCGATTTCACATCAAACCTGCGCCGGCTGGGCGGGAATACACATAATCCTCGTCTCTGTAGCTCTGGCAGCAGGTGAATTTTCTTCGCGAATTGGGAAAAGGCGAAGGAGTGAATCTGTTTTTGTTTGTTTTGGTTGAAGTCGAGAAATGACGATCTGGACGCGCGCAGGCAGTTGGACACCTCAGCTCCAATAACGACAACGTGTTGCCATGAAAGCACGCTACGTCAACTACGAAACGCCACCTGCAAGTCAGAAAAGAGAAAACAAATGTACGGATGTACTTGGTACCAATTATATGAGTTTAATATTCCCGAGTGAAAAGAACATTTGTATTTTATTTGATTAACTTTTCAAAAATTTCAACATTCCTGAGTAAAAACAAATGTTTGACTTAAGATTTGATTAACTTTTCGAATATACAGTTTCAAAACAATTTCAGGCTTTTCATTTTTTGCGGATCCAAATTAATCTTCACATTTTTCATTTTAGTGAAGTTTTTAAAGTGAAATGTCTATACTTACTTTACGTCATTTACCTTATCTTCTTACCTCTTACCTCATTTCATTCGTACTCAAACCCTGCCGTTTTGTTCTCTCTGTCTTTCTCTTGAACCTTCCTTCTATCCTCTCTGTCTCTTTGTCTTCCATTTGCTCCACCGCCTGCAACCTCCTTCTCCCATCTCCACCATCACCCGTCGTTCTATTAACCCTCATCGTCACTAGTCACTCTACTCACCTCCACTATCACAGTCTCTTCTACAAACCCCCATTCGAAATGGATAGGAAACCATCACTCCCCAAAAACCCTAAGATGTCAGTCCACCTTCCTAAATCGACAGATCATAGTGATGTTGAACCCTTAGAAGCTGAAGTTTCACATGCAATTGCAAACCACGATGAAGCTTTGGTTACTCGACCTCATCCGAGACTGATCGAACTAGTCATGGATCGGGACCGGGCCAAGCCGGGCTCCGGGACGGATCGGGGCGGGACTGGGTTTTAGGGATGAAGACCCGGTACCGGTCCGGGTTGGTACCGGGCTACCCGACCGGGTCTCGGGTCTCGAGTCGGACTGGGCTTTTTTAAAAAAAATCAAAAGTGCTACAAAAAAACAATGCATATTTATTGAAATATGAAGTACAATTGATAATATAGTTAATAGTCTATTTTAAGAAAGCGGGAAACAATACTTTGCATCCCCTTGACTTTTAATTTTGTAAGTAATTTGTAACAAATTGATATTTGTGAGTACAATTAAAGTGTAACTAATATTAATGAAAATGTAACTAATAGAATAAATGTATGAAAGTAGATAATAAGTATTGAAAGAATGGCATGAATATGATCTATACACTTTCCAAGGACTAAAATATGACCCGTTTCTTGTGTGGACAAAAAATGACAAAATCCCTAAGCATATGCGCAGAACCCGTCTCCATCTTCTCGTCCAAGGAGCTCTCATCTCTCCTCCTTCAAACTTTCATCATCTTCTCATCTCTCCGTCATTTTGCTTTCTCCTGATCGAACCGCACCGCCGAATCGCACGTTGCCTTGCACCTCCATATTTGTTGTGTTCCCACTTATCGGTGAGGTTTCGACGATGACTGTCAAGCAAGGACTGCAGGACTTCAGTGAGGCGACGGTGGCGGGGATTTGACGCAGACGACGAGAACACAGCGGCAATGGTGTCTCCATCTTTTCCGTCGACGATCGAGCTTTCACCGGCTTAAATCTGGATCCGAGATAAGAGACCTGGAGCTCCAACGTTCTTCATCGATCTAGATCTCAGCCGTCCATTTTGCAGCGGCTGGGTTAGTCGGTGGTTCGATCTGGAAATGATTTCCTAGGGAAGTAGCGGTTGCAACAGAGGATGGGGTTAGGGTGAGGGACAGAGGCAGCAGGATTGGACGGGGCAGGAGAGGCGGCTGTGAACAAGCCGGTGGGGTAGGGGAGACGACGGTGGACGGTGAGTGGTGGAAGGGGAGGGGAAGGGGCGGTGGCTGGGCAAGGACCGGGCGGTGGCAGCCGCTCGGACTGGGAAGGGGGACGATCGCGGTGTTGTCACTGTGGCCTGCGGCGGTGTCACTGTGGCCGGCGGTGGTGTGAGTGTGGTGGTGTCACTATGACGGTGTCACTATGGTTGGTGGTGGCGGTGGTGGCAGTGACACGAGCGATGGCGACGGAAGTGACATGGGCGATGGCGGCCACAGTGACACTGGCGATGGCGGCCACAGTGACACTGGCGATGGCGGCAGTGACATTCGACAGTGACATGAAAATGGAGCAGTGACATGAATGTTTGGTTGTCACTTTGTTTTAGTCACATTTTATCCAAATGTAAAAGTGGTCACATTTTTGGAAATCAGCCTTAAATTAGTACTACCTCCGTCCCGCTATGATTGTCCCGTTTTACCTTATCGGTCCGTCCCACTAAGATTGTCTCATACCAAATTTGGCAAAGTTTGTGTGGCTCTAAATTATTCTTACTTTATTCTTACTTTATCAATTCAATATCAACCACATAAACCACTTTTTATTGATTTGCGTGTCACTTCCTCTTGTCACATTGTTAGCGAGACGGAGGGAGTAATATTTAGGGGGAAACCTCATAAGTATTTAAGTGGATAATAAATAGAATAGTAGGTATAATATATGTAAATATATGCTACCTCCTTCTCATTAGAAAGTTCCCGTCCACTATTCACATGGTCAACTTAAATCATTTTTAATCTTTTACTTTATAAATCAAATTTTTATCAAATTTACATTTTTTTTATCAGGCTTTGTAGCGGTTTTAATGTAGTTTCTGAATATGTTAATTTTATTTACTAAAAATAATCAGAGTGTGAACAGGGATTAAGTTGATTTATCGTTAGTAAAGCATCGTAAACCGTCAACGAGAACCTTCTAGCGGGACGGAGGGAGTAGTAAATAATAAGTATATAGTATCAAGCCATGTCCCGGAGCCCGCCCAATCAAACTAGCGGTTTGGGCCTCAGGCTCGGTCACGAGCCCGGTCCACGAGGTCAGGTTGGGTCCCAACAGTGTCGGGCCGGGCCGGATCCCGAGTGGGCCGACCCGACCCAGTCCATCCCTAATTCGAACTAGTGTTTGCGTAAGAAATACGGATCTAATCTCGCGTCGAATATTTACGAAGGTTTGGGCGGGCTGGATTCAGAAGATAGTGAGGAAGTGAACTTGGGCTCGGCATCAGATGAAGGAGAAGAGAGTGACGGCGATTGTTGGGAAGAGGACTGCAACGAAAGGACTCCTTAAGGACAATAACGTTTTCAACCCTTTCTCGTTATGTCTCTAATGTTGTCTGGACTTTGCATTTTTGTGAGAGGCCATTTTTGGATTATTGTGTGACTAATGATTATTCCAGGGTTGTGAATTTATGATATGTGGGTCAAATGTGTGTTACGCAGATTGATTCACCTATGATGTGTGTTTGCCTATTCTAAGATATGCTTGTGAATGCTATTTGAGGTCTTTGAATCTCACAACCCCTTTTTTCTTTATTAATCTCATCTATGGATGCTTAACAATTTTGAGGGATGCTAGCTTGGGATATGTAACCTGTGATCATGATTAATTGTGTTTGCCTATGCTCATATACCTTGCTGAACATGTGATTCATCTGAAGTGTATTAGCCTATGATTTGTAACATGTGATCATGATTATGAGTGTTTGCCTATGGTTAGTTACCTATGATGAACATGCGATTCATCTGAGGTGTATTAGCCTAGGATTTGTAACATGTGATCATGATTACGAGTGTTTGCCTATGGTGAGTTACCTGTGATGATTGTGTGATTTAATTTGAGGTGTGTTAACCTAAAAATACGTTTCATTCTTGTTTTTGTTGAACATTTTACATTGTGCAAAAATCAACAGGTGTTGTGCTCGAAACTATTTTAAAAAGGAGAAATCACACTTTTGATCTCTTAATTAGTCGTCATATTGAAATTTCAGACTCATGTTTCTGAGATTGTAAATAGCATCCCCTGTTTGACCGATGTGTTGTAAATGTCATCCTCGCCGTTTATAATCCAACTAACAACGTCATTTCTTTCATTTTAGCATGGGTATCTGTGTAACTTCACATTCTTAAATTTTTAAATACGTAGTATAACTATAACCTTCATCATTTGCACCTTGATTGAACATAGATACACAACATCTCCTCCAAAATTTATATGTTTCTTTATTCGCCTGACGGTGGGATTTTTTACTGAGGAGCCTTCGACCATTGTCATATGATTTACGGTTACTGTGATTCAAGTTCATTGTAATTTTTTTGTTCTTCCCTTCGGTGTTCTCTTTTATTTATTTCTTTCTTAATTGAGGATGAGATATAAGGTTTGCAAGTTACAAATTTACTAGGCACGACCATAATTTGATTCATTTTACATGAATAAAACGTTGACAAATTACGGGATATGTCATAGTTGCAGGAGTTCAAACCATTCCCTGAATGAATGCCCTTACAAGAAAAGTTTCATGTGTGTTCAATTGATATTCAAATATGCTTGGGTACAACAAAATTTAGTAAAAATAAGGGGCGATTGTTTTATAATTGCACATAGTTCAACCACTTCAAATGGAAATTGGGTGAAAGCAGTAACCATGGAAGTCATAGTCCAAGTGGTGAAGGGGTGAAAGAGGTGTAGATGACAATGTCAAAGTGGTGTTTGTCAACTTATTGAAATGTTTGCACAAAAAACAATAAATGAAGGTGGAAGATGACACTAACATTGACAAGATTTTGTAACTGAGCCATGTAGTAGTCTCCATTAGTTGTTGTTATGTACTTGAAGTGTTTGTTTTAGTTTATGTAATGTGTGTTGTTGATGCACAACACAAAATCAGGTGATAATAATTGTACTATTGATCAAATTATTAGTTGATATACCTTCTTGCTTGTATTATAAGGCTAACAAGGATAACAAAATCAATAAATGAAGACAAATTGTAGCTCTTACATAAGGTTTGAAATACAGATTCATTTACACCCATCTGAATAAACATGTATTAAACACGCATATAATTATGAACAAAATAGGCGTTTAAGGTTTAAGAAGTGTTTACC